AAATAGTTTCATGAATTGCCCATAAATTTATTAAATATTTCACAATTATTGTGATTTCTTATCTTAAATGAATGTCAGGTTCAGTTCCAGTTATGGATAGCTGTGAAAAATATTTTTTTCAATTTCTCATAAAGCATCAACAAAGTGCATGCAAAAGATATCAAAAGTTGAATAGGGAATCACTAGGTGGTGTCCATAACATACATATTCTTTTCTTTTGAGCATTTTTTAACAGCTTAAGAAATATAAATCTCACACATATTAAGAATTCTATGTGTAATCTTTATAATAGCGGCTTGTAATCATTACCTCATTAATCATGTGTGAAAATACAATACAAAAAGGAATTTCTTCTTTCTTTATTTTGGCATGATTTAATCTTAATAATTCGGCCACGCTAGTACTTAATAAAAAATGATTAATTCCCTCTAAATACATAATATATGCAAACAAGCCTCATGAAACGTGCTTTCTCGTATGTGGAACGATCAAATGATTTGAGATGCGAGTCAAAGAAGTAACGTAAAAAATGTCAGCAGCATTTACAGCACCAACGAGTTCGCGTTTTTTTATATGATATTGACTTGATTTTTGTCATGACTATGTTATGATTCATTTAGTTTGACTTGTTGTCTTGCCGGCATATGAATTATAATAGCTTTTTATGGCGTTAATTTGTAGTGAATCATTTGTGAATGATTTGTGGTTTGCTGGGTTAGGTATGGAATTGTTTATTGAGTTCTGATGAGCAGCTAGATATTTAGATTAACATCTGGTTGTAAAATTATTCTCGAAAATAAATTGTATTGTTTACATTTTCACTTGAGATTTTCAATCTCAAAATTTGACTTTGATTCATGAAATGCAGCTTAATGGATGACTGGAAAATGCTTAAATAGAGTGAGCAAAGACGTTTCTTCTACATTTGATAACAACTTAGTGTTAAATGTTTAAATTTTGATTTTTTTTTTAAATTTCAAAATAATTTTTAAATAAACAAACGTGAAAAGCGCAGGAAAATTTAATATTGGCATTAGATTAAATTTAAAGCTTATTAAATCTGATAAAGTTCAAAATGAACACTAATGAAGTTTTTAACATTGATAAGTGTCTCCAACAAAAAGTCTAAAAAGCCTAACTGATCACTGCATTTAAGACAGAAAAAAGTTCCCACGTTGCATAAAAACAACCCATTTAATGTCCAAAAATGCACCACAATCGCCCACCTTTAGTAACTTTTCTACTACATTTTTTCATAAAGCATCGATCTTGTTTGTGAATATTACCATTGACATTCAATTTGTGAATAGAGCTTCAACCACACATTGCCATTTTCTTCTTTCTTTCTCTCACATGCTTTTTTTTTCTCATCGTTGTGTTTTGTGTTTCTTCTTTCCTACTTTCTTTCGCAATTTTTTTTTTTTCTTCTTTCCTTCTTTCTCCACATCTCTCACATCCCAGAGTATAAAACTGAATATCTTCTATGTAGGAAAAACGTGAGCAACGATGATGTTGTGTTTTTTTTTACCTGTTGCTGTTGTTGTTTATTTCTCTTTGTGACCCCTTTCTCCGGCTGAGAATGTATTGGTAGAGCTTTTCGATATTTTATGAAATTTATGTGATTTTTCGACCGATTTTGGAGATTTTTTGATGAAAATTTGTCAATTTGATGACATTTAATGGATTTATCTGATAAAAATTGAGTTTTGAACATCAATTCATCCCGAAAACAGTAATGAGAGCTTTAACATACACAACAGCAACACAATTTCTCCAAATCTTTACACGATCTTCGTCAAGCCCCTTCTTCTTGTTATCGTTAGTGTTCGTTGGTCTTCGAAAGACATTTCTCTCGGAAATTTCACGTAGAACCAATACAGAAGAAATTGAGAGCCGAGAAAGAATTTTTTTTTGTGTATTTTAAAATTTCTTTTTTTACACATTAATTTCTTTACATGATGGGGAAGCTGAAATCTAGTGTAGCACACACATCCACAGACACAGACAAAAAGTTTTCGGGCTTATGAGCCCTAATTCTCTTTTCTCTTCTCGATATACTCAATTGTGTGTGGCACTGGCACGTTCTTCTTTCTATCCATGGTCGGATCCGATCGCTTCGACGTCTCTGAGCTATTGTGGCTTAAAAAAATTGTACGAAATGCACTACAGTGGAAAACTTTTTACCTCGCAACGCTTTTAGTTCAATTTCTACCGTTGTCGAATACTGTTGTATCCACTCGCTCATGCGCGTTTTGCGAAGAAAAAAAAAGTTTATTTTTGATCGGAAAGAAAATTTTGTGCAACATTTTTTTTGTGCTGATCGTGAAAAAGAGGGGTGGTGTAGATTCAAATAAATATAATTCAGTTGACATCCCTAAACATGGATAATTCTCAAAGAGCTTTAATGAATTATTTGACCCACATTTTGAACTGAATTCAGAAAAAAAAATATTTTTTTGGAAAAAAGCTCGGAACCGTTAAAGAAATAAAAAAAAAATGTTTAATAAAAAAATTCCAGTTCGTAGTGATAGACGAAAAGAAGAGAATATAAATAAAAAGAGATAAAGAAAAAAAAATAATAATAATAAAATAAAGTTATCAAGGAATGAACTGTGAGTGTTAAGTATACAAATAATAATAAATAAAAAAATTTCAATATCAAGGATTGTGACAATGAAAAAATAAAAGAACAATTTATGCTGATTTATGTACAAGTACATTATTGTGAATGCAATTGAATGATTAAGAAAAGAAATGGATATACAGAATTAATTGTGAGCAATGCAAAAAGTGACTATAAAGAGATTAAACAACACAAATATAAAAAGAATAGAATTTAGAGGAATATAGAATAAATAGAAATGTGAATGACCTACATTTTAATGAATGTGTTAAATGTGCAACTATAGTATATGGAATATTAATATATACCGAGTAGTTTTTCATGTGTTTACAACTAATTTGAACCCGGATATAAAATCGTCGGCAGAGAACTATTTAATTTGATGTTACCTCTGACCACCATAACAGAGAATTTAAGCTTAGTTCTCTCTCACTTACTATAGTTTAATTTTTTTGTTGTTATTGTAGGCCATAAAATAACTATTTTTACCTACTCTATATATGCTCTGATAATTAGACACGACCTAATTAGTGTTTTATGTGTTTTGGTCATTTACTTCCTCTCATCTGACATTAACCCTTTTTGTGTTGTTGTTTTGTTTGTGCATCTCTGTTGTTTTAACCGCACAAGATTAGAAAATAAAAAAAGAAGAAGCAGAAGGACTTAAAAGGATTGAAAAGTGAATGAACTCATTTAAAGGATTATTAAGTGATTTTGTTTTTGTTTCTATTGTGTGCATCATTATATTTTGGAATTTCCAGTCAGCAAGACTTTGTTTCCGGAAAGGATATAAACCAATTAAAAGTGGATATTAAAGAATTATAAAAAAAATTGGATGTTGTACATTTCTTCATTATCATTCCTTTGTACATAAAGTCAACTTCTATAAATAATTTAACTTAATTATTTATTTTTGTATAAAGAAATCACTAAAATTTCTCTCTCCATTTCTACCTTTTGTTCTGTAAAGAATGCCTTTATAGAAAAATTTAGAGGAAATTTTTTGCTGGTGCTTTCCTGTCCTATACAAATTTCATAAAAAAATTAATTCAATATTTGTAAGTATAAAAATGTCGGAATTTATTTATTTTGCATGCCTTTTTTGTTTTTTGGGGTTTTGGAACTTTTAATTAATTAATTTTTGCGTAGAAAATTGCGAGAAATTTATGCTTTCTTTCCGATTAAAAATCAATTAAAATAAAATCTTTGGTCGATCGTTAAACAGTTTAACCTACATTTCTAGCCAATCTTTACTTACTCTCGCTCTGTAAGCATTCATCTGTGCCTGCTGTCTTTCTTTTCTTTTCGCCTTCTTTGTTTTGTCATAGTGTAGAATAAAACTTTTTTAGTCATTTAATATCTATAAATTTATGCATGAAAAACTGGAAGTGAATTTAGTTTAATCAAATTAGAAAAAAAAATTTTATAAAAGTCTTTGTTGGGTTTAATAAAAATGCTAATTGCATGATTTCCATGCTTCTTTCTCTTCTATATTTCATTCCTTAATCTACTTTTGTATCAATTTACCATCTCTTGGACATTCTTAGTGCATTTTTCTTGGAACGATCTGTGGTTTTTGAGTTATTTTAATAATTGCTTATTTTTAACGGTTAAAGATTCAAAAACATTTTTATAAAATAATGAAAATTTGAGAAAGTTGTTCAAAATTAAGATTAAAAAACCGTTGAAAATTTGGATTTGAAAAAGTCGTTGAATAATTAAATTAAGAAAGTCATGAATAATTTGAAATTTTAAAACCGTTATATTCTTATTTTCTTAAACTTGCAAGGATTTTAATTTATAAAAAGTCGTTAATTTTTGAAATAATGTTAATTTTTGAAAAACAGTTTAGTAAAAATAAAGAAATTAGTTTACTTTAATGTCGTTTTATGGTGCTATGCTTCTTTCTATGTTAAACTACTTTTTTTTTCTCTATTCAAAATTCTGAAATGTAATCTAAGTCACAAATGAAATGTAAAAATAAAAACAACAAATTGATGTCTCGCTAACCCATTCATGGCTTGAGATCAATTTACTTCACTATCTGACTTTGCGATATTGTTTTTGTGATTCTTTTTCTTCTTTTCTTCTCTTTTTTTTTCTTCCCTTTTTTATTTCATTTTAAATCAAACAATAGAAATTAAAAAGAGCAAAATTTTCTCAAATAAAAATCTTTTGGAACTTTATGCATATTTTCGGTGGAGTTTTGACATACATATTATAGCCGACGAACTATATGCAATAAACAAAAGCAACATAAAGACAATTGACATAAAGAAATATTGGACACTGAATAATAATTCGGTGAATTTCAAAATATTTCAAAGTGCAAAAATAATAATAATAAAAAAAGTTACATGAACTGAAGAGATTGATGAAATCTCAAATAAGCATAAAAGACTTAATTAATTATTGTTGTTGCGATTAAAAAGACATTAAATAAAAATTGGAAGCAACGAAATATTAAAAAGACAATAAGAAAAGGAAAAAAAATGACACAATAGACTGTGATTATTCATCATTATTTGCTTATGGAGCTTATGGATTCATTGAGTGAAAATTTCATTGATTTGTGTTCGAATATAAAAGGTTAGATATATTCTATGTTTACATTAATTGATTTATAATTTATTATTCTTAATGTGGGTTGTGGAACGAAAAGTTATTTATGCACGACACGGTGATATTGAACTGCCAATCATATTTCTAAGCCTGCACGCACTATTTGCGGGATTTCTACTCAGTTAATTTTGGAGCAGCACAGCTTTTCAGACCATAGTTATTAATAAAATCTACCATCAAAGGGGGATTGATCTGTTTAAGTCTCTGCAACTTAGTATTATTGACTTATTAACATTTTATAGCTGTAAGATTGCATCTTTGTGATTTGATTGTATCCCAGCAAAAGTATAAAACTTAAACTTATTGGATGATTACATCAATAAATTGTTTAGATCCATTTTAATCGACACTTCTACATGAGTAAGAACACATGCAATAAATTCAAGTAATTACTCCTCCTTTTCACCTTTAAAATGGAATATACAGCATTATTCTGACAATTGGCGTCTTTTAAGCTAATAAATTACATGCACAACTTTCTGATCAGAATACGAATGGTAACGGTCATTTAAAAGAATTTCATCATCCTTTTCCATTTGATAAAGTAGCAATAAATTTGCATTTTAAAACATTCCATTCCTAATCTCATCTAATGCTTTACTTTGATAGTGAAGAAATTTTCAATCTAGCACATGCAATATCACAAGACTTATCTTCAAATTGACGCAAGATTAATGAAAATAGTTGTTAATTAGCATCACTACAATTCTGATCTTCCATTTCTCTTTAATGTAATTTGCCATGTATGAAAAAAATTAGTCTGCCTACATATTTCCATGTTCCTCTTCGATGTGTATGAGACATCGTTGCTAAACTATAAATCATATTTTCTTAATTAATTGCACATCACGCTTTTTTATTTATAATATGCAAAACAAACTACGCTAAATGAAAAATTATGCAGGAATGTGTTAAAAGCATATTTAATTTCTGTTTTGCTTTACTTCTATTTTTTTACTGTCTCACTCTGTCTTCCTCACATATGTTTGCAAATTAAAAGACACAAGCCAACTTTCTCCCGGAACAATTGAAAAAATTTATAACAAAAAAAAAATCTGTATCATTTTGATCACGAATTATTGCCGAATCATTGTTGTGGAATTTTATAAGAATCAAATAAAAGTAGATTGATGGGATATCATTAGACATCCCATGTGGTGGCCCCAAAATAAGAAGAACTTCTATCGCATGCATCTCAAAAATAAAATGATGATTAAGATGATAATTTGTATTTGACCTAGTTAAGAACATTTATTAGGTTTTTGAGTATGAGAGAAATTGAATTAAGATCAAGATAGATTTCTATTAAGTAATTTACACCCATTTCATAAATGTTCTGAAATTCGATAGTTAATCTTTCACACAAGGCCATTAAATTTATCTTTCTCATGCAATCATTAAAATTATTTAGAACATGAAAATTGGACATGATTAGGAGTATATTAGAACACAGTAGGTAAATGCAGACTACCGCCATTCCGAAAACGACCGTTATTTTTTGAAAAATGGACAAAAAAAGTTGATGATTCAAAAAAAATGACCGTTTGAATTCAAAAACAAAATTACAGTTAAAATCATGGAAAGCTAAATCAGATTATTTATTTAAACTTTGATGCAAACAGCTCCTTTCGATTTAAAAAACGTTTCTGATGAGACAATTTCAATCTAAAATTTAAAAAATCCTTTAAAAAGTCTTCAAATATCAAAATGCAGTGATTAAAACTAGTTGGCATTTCTTTCACTGCTGCTTTAAAGGATGATTTAATTTGGGATGCGGAGTGGTTTCTATCAACTGAATCACATTGTCTATAAATAAATTCAATTTTGTAGCAAAATGAAAGAAATATTGGAGAAGGTTTTAAAGGCATTCGAAATAATGCTTTTCCATCCTTTCGTTTGTTTTCACAATTAAAGACTGTGCACTTGCTCATTTTTGTATTGATTAATTACTTTTTAAGTGATTTTATTGTTTAAAATGTCTCAAGGAATTTATTAGTTTACATTATGCATAACGGAAAAAAAATATTTGAACTATCGAAATTAATTTCGAAGTTTTCGAAAATGGAATGGCGGTAGTCTGGGTAAATGATTAAAGATTAACGTGATAGTTGAGCTACTCTTTGCAAAATTATTCTAATTTAAATAATTTATCCAAATGAACAGTTTAGAATGTTAATTTCTTAAGAAGCTTTGTTATCTCTGACATACATACTTTGTAAGTTTGCTCTGAATTTCGAAAGAGTTTGCAATTTAAGAAGTTATCAATTTTTTGGATGTTTGTTTTGCTTTGTTTAAATATTTTGTTCTCAATTTTAAAAAAAACGATAAATGGGCTATTCCACGGATTGATTTTTCCAAAATATTCATCTTTGAATCGAATTTTGCACAAACTTATGTGAAATGCCGAGCTCTTTCATTCTGTCTAACTCATAAATTTTGCCATGCCTTAATTACTGAAATATTTGGATTTTTGTCAGCTTTGGTATATTACACAATGTTGAAATCTGACTTTGAAAACATAAACTACTACTTTAAAGACATCTAGACAACAATTAATGAATGTTATGCTGTTCATTTTATCTTCTCTTATGATTCTGCATACCTATATTGACTTTAAATGCACTCAGACAGAAAAATTAATAATTTTTATGAAATTAATGTAATAAACCAACGCTTAAGCCAAATCCGTGAGAAAATGATTTTTAAAAAAGCAGCTTTTCTTTAATTAATAATAATTTCTTTGATTGGAATGTTGTTTATAAAAGTTTAATAGTCAATAAAGATCTTTAACTCGTTTTAAAAAGTGTTAACTTGGTTAAAAATCTTTTTGAAGCAATCAAATTTTTAAAAAACATGGATCAAAAATTTATTTTTTTTTTTCAAAATTTAACTCATCCGTGAAATTGCCCATATTCAAAGTTTAATCCCTAGCAGGAGTTACTAGCAATTTTCTAGTCTTTCTATTCTACTACTTGCAATTTACTAGTTATTATTAAAACAACTTACTGTTATTAAATTACACTTGCTATTTGCTAGCAACTTACAAGCAAATTACCATGTGAAATGTTTGATCAAATCTGCTTAAGTTCGAATACTACGAAAAATCATCAAAAAAAATTTTTTTGCGTCATAAAAAATTTTGTTCTAAATTTGGCATTTGCCATATACTTCACAAGAGCGCGCAAAAATCACCTTTATAAGGTTGATCCAAATTTGTATGTGACTTTCAATTAATTATATATCTTCCTCAGGTTTGCGTGCGAGTCATGGGCGTTCATCAGTGTTCGACTTAATTAGATTAAGTCTTTTATTTCTTTCCTTTACTTTAATTAACTTTACTAAGTGCACACTAATACTTTTACAATAATTTTCACAAATAAGAAAAATCAAAAGAACACGTGGAATTCAACGGTTATATTCATTTAATTTTTTTTACAAATTTGCTAGTAAATTACTGGTTAAATTGTAAGCGAATTGACTAGTCAATTAGCAAGTGGAAATGCGGGTCTTTGGCGATGATTTGAACTTGGATTTTTAATAGTAAATAGCAAGTAGCAAATGGAAAGTTATCCAGTAAATTACTAGTAATTTTCTGCTAGGGAATAAAGGACAAAATTTTTGTACGAAATAGGGACAGTCAACTATGTTGCAACCAAACATTATTCAAATTAAAAACGTCCGTTATTTTAAAAATCATAAAATAAACGAAATTATGAAAAGAAAATAGCGAAAATTCAGACAAGGTCGCGCGCATACAATTCCATTAATCCACAGCACATGTTTTCCATATTCAAAATCTCAACATTCGCTATTTCTCTCTCCATCTTCGGTAAATCCCTTAAAACAATGAAGCAAATTATCAAAATATTTTCAATTCAGTCTCGGGCGCAATGTTTAGAAAATTAAATTCAGCCTTTGTAATGATTCCCATATTCATTCATTCATTCATCCATTGATTCATTAATACACATTCATTGAAGATATCTCGTTAATGAAAATGAAGAACAATCCGCTGTGTTTTTTTAACGGTCAGTGATATGTTACACTGAAGCCTCTATTTTGCCGTTCATAAGCTTCATTTTTTTTGCAACGGAATTATTTTGGCTTCTACAATATCATGTTATGATATAAAATTTCATTTCATTTCCACTATGATTCAGTTTTCATTTCATTCGTACGTATCAGCTGAATAGAATAGTGGAATGAAGAAGATGGGAATATAAAATGAGATATTTAAACTGCAAAGTGCTTCATAAAATATAAAACGTCTTCTATATCCGTTAAATAAATAAACAAATCCAGTTGAAATTGAATTAAGCAATTGAACTGTTGTTTTACAATGACTACTCACTCACGTAAATATATTATTGTCTTATTCCTCTAATTTTCTATTCGTATTTGCACAAAACTTAAAAAATATCTTAAACAGGCATTTAAGTCTTTCGTTCTATGCTATTCTGCCTCACATATTGTGCATGTTTTTACTATGAATGACTTGTTGCTTGTTTATGATGTCATTAAATATTTTCTTTAGAGGACACTTTAGATCTTTATTAGCTTTCATTGTCAGCTATGTGCATAAGAGCAATTAAAAGACATATGGTATAGACTCCCACGAGACCTTTCAATTAACAAATATTTGTCCTTTCTTACATAAATGTAAAACAGATGCGCGCGCATTAATCGTCATACTTTGCATGACCTTCAAAAGAAAGAGACAAACACAAAATTGCAGTTGCGAAATGTTTTGTTGACATTATTTTTTTCAATTTTCATTCATACGAATGTTGTTTGACACAGGCTTTACATGGCAATTTATTTGTTAGCCATGAATCATGATAACAGAACTATGTATGCTAATATTACTGAATATTCTTTTTTGGGTATACGCAAAATTCTTTTGCAAATTTTTTGAATGTAAATAATGACTTAATACGTGATTAAAGTAATGGACTGTTTGATACTTA